GTTGGAGTCTCATTAGACTTGAGTTTTATGATTCGTATATTTTATAGATCGCATAAATAATTCGGAGCGTTGAGCTCTAGTAAAAACTAAATTGGTTTGCTAAATGTAAGAACTGATTTACTTTAATCTTAACGGTAAGACATATTTTTATTTTGTTTGAGCCAAACTTACATATTATTTCAATAGCATTATCAGGTATCTGTCGTAGGTATATTTTTTCGTCTTGGGAATGGCTGATGCCACTCTCGATTCTACTTTGTATTACGCTTTGTTGAATTTGTGATTTGCAATGCATATTTTTCTTGGACATCTTGTATTGGTATGTGTTAATAATGGTTTTTTCATGAAACAACTTTGTTGTTCATATTTAGGTTATTCCGTATCAACTTAGGTACTATTTAACCCAATTTTGCGAAACAAATTAATAATGTTAACTTAAATTGAAAAGTCCCTAGCCACTGGCGCCGTAAAATATGGTTGCCAAAAGATTCACACACATTTCCAACTCTTTTTATTCAAATAATTTGTTATAGTAAATGGGTGAACCTATGTGGTAGGGTGAAAGTTGTCAATATCTAATTTATTTCAACTTTATTTATATTTAGATACATTTTTTGCTTCTAAATGGCAGATACGAATCAGCATATCACAGTTTTTCCTTAACTAGTGAGGAAATGAGACATGAAGGAAAAACATACTTTTTAGTATGTTCGTTTGTTTAACTTTTATCATTATTAACTCCCAATACTGGAGCTTTATAAATCGGAAATACTGAAGAGCAGAAGAGCAATGTGTCATGACACTTCAGTTATATCGGTAGCAAAAGTTTCAAAAAATTGCCGTCTTCGATTGAAAGAATCATTATTTTGCAAGAGCAAAAAGAGAGCGAAAATGCAGAAAATAGCATTGTGGCTCATTAAAGAAGATTTCCAAATGTTAATTAAAACCGTTAAAAATATGTTGATTGAAAAAAATATGTTTGATTTGGTAACGTTATTACGTTTGTCGAAAAAGCATGGCTAATCAATATCTAACCACTTAGAAGCCAATTTATATGTATAATTATATTGCTTAAATGACCTGTAGAAGTAATTTTATGAGACACTTTATTCAGAACACATTAAAATGAGTTTCAAATGTCTGTATTATTTATAACAATATCAGCAAATAAATGTCTTCACATGGTAACTAAAAATATACGCTTTACACCGACAAAGTCACCAATGGCTCGACCGTTTGGTTCTTATTGGAGGCAAATTCCGTAATCGATACTTCACACCTCCCGTCGGTCTTTGATAAAGACAAGCCGGCGATGAATACCTACCGCCCGCCCCCCGAACCTAACTGGTCAATGACCAGGAACCCGAAACACGTAATTGGAATATGGGTATGGGAACCGCAATCGCCGCCTTTACTTGTTTTGTTTTTGGTTCTCACAGGACCAAGAGCATATCTTTAGATATTTGGGTGCTTGCAATTTGTAGCCCATAGTGCAACTGTCTGAAAACATATTGCARCTGATCAAGRAAGGTTAATKAATTAAATTATTYTGTTTAGAAACTCACCATGTCATATGTTTCAAGCTGCATGCTCATCAAGCATGAGTTCATGAGAAAACCTTGTAATAACAACTTTTCTTATTGGTGTTTTTTGTCGTTATACGGTTTTCGACCAGATTTTACTGAKTAAAATTCACATTCACATATTTCACATATTTTAAAAATATTTTATATGATACAGAGTGTCCCAGAAAAGYGAGGCAAAATCAAAGTGTATTTTTTTARATAGAACTACCCAACTTTTATTTAAGCTCATGGAATGCAGCTTGAAATTCAAATTCATAATTCATTCAAATTCAAATTCAAAATTTATTAAAAAATATATATGTAAACAGAAAATTATTTGTCAATTTACAATTCATATAATGTAAAAAATATTTGTTGAGTACCTACTTACCTTGTACCTGTATGTACTCTTGAGGTTACAATTTTTTTTATATCAGTAATCATATTTTTATTTTCTGTCCTGGTTTAACAGTAGGTAATCCACATAGCATACCATACATGTATATTCTTACCTAAAACTAGCAACTTAAAACATTTTCCCGAGAACTAAACTTTTGAGAAAGTATCTGAACAAATGTGTTCTCTGGATTTGTTATTAAACAAATTGAAGTTATTTATTGATCTTATTATACTTGGCAATAAATTATACAATTTTGGGGCTACATAATTAAGAAACAAGATGAATTGTTCGATTATTTTCTTCAGGTAGAGCAAGAAAGTTGTTAGATACTTGTCTTGTGGTGTGGTTATGTTTGACATATGTTTGAGTATTTTTGTTCTTATGCGTAAATGAGCATGCTGAATGTATGTATAGCAATGATATGTCGCTAATTTCTTTGTTATATAACTCTCTATCAGGGTATAGTTTGTCGTCCTTTCTGTAAATTATTCTTAAAATATAATTTTGAACAACTTTTAATGGTCTTAAATTAGATTCATAAGCTCCACTCCATATTATAAGGCCATATCTAAGCAATAATTCTACTAACGATTTGTATACTTGTATGAGTAATTTTCTGTCCAAAAAATCTCGAAGAACATAGAACTTATGAATGAGTCCTCGAACTGTGCCTGTCAAATAGTGTACATGTTCTAACCATTTCAAATATTGGTCCACTATAATTCCTAGATATTTTACTTTGACACAGCCTTAATTTCAAGGTATGGGTTTATTTGGCTAACCAGGCTAAAATGTGGCCTTTGTTATACTGAACGGGATAAAATGGGTTTTCGTGACATTTAGTGATAATTTATGTGAATCTAGCCATTGTTTTACCACATCCATCCCGTCCATTGCCTTCCTTCTAACCTCATCCCACGAAACCCCCGAAAAGATCAATGCTGTGTTATCAGCATAGGATACAATCTTGCCATTCATGTTTAACCCCAGCAGAGAATTAATATAGGTTATAAACAAAATGAGACCCAAAATTGTTCCCTGTGGAATGCCCATCTTAATGTTTAGTGAAGAACTTATTAGGTTATTGATTTTAACATATTGTTCTCTGTTACTTAAATAACTCTGAAAAACCTCGATCCCCCGACCTCTTACACCATATTGTGTCAAAGAACTTGAATTGATCATGAGGAACAGTATCAAAGGCCTTTGAGAGGTCCAGGAAAATAGCCAAGCATTTTGAAGCGCTGCATATGCACCGTAAATTGTTTTTTTTTTACTTGCGACGTTGGCAGATTATCGTCATATCAGTAAAATTTTGCTTAAAAACATGGTATCTAAAAATTTAGTGTAGAAGAAAAATAAGCAGTTAAAGATTCAAAAAAATACGTTTTTCCATTCACCACAGATCCGTTAAGATTTAATCAAAATATCCATACAATGTACAATATTGTACAGGGTGTTAACAATATGGACTTAAATCAAAACTTTTTAACGCAATATAGCTTTTGTTTTCCAAATGTAAGTACCTGTATATTAATTAATATGTCATTAGATAGACAATTTACAAAGTTACACAAATTTTCATTTACACTTTAATTATGCTTTATTTAAAAATTTCAAGAAGTTGTTACATTTTATAAGGTGGCTATAGAATCCAATAAATAATTGTTAAAATTTGAAAGTAAAACAGTAAGAAAATATAATTTACGGTGCGTGCATATGCAGCGTGTCAAGCTGCATTCCATGAGCAAATGAAAAATTAGTAGTTCTGTTTAAAAAAATACACTTTGATCTTGCGTTCCTTTTTCGAGACACTTGTGCGTCAACAACTTTTACGTGAAACTATTTTTCGAAAGTTCAACACCAACGGAAATAATGGACTCTCTCGCACTAAAAAACCACCCTGTATTTTGCAGATATTTGGATTCGTTTTCGTTAGTTTCGGTAATTTGTTTTTGTTTTAGTAGAAATTTTTCAACAAGTTATAAAGTATTGATTTATGCATGTCCTGTATAGTAATGACGGGAGGTGTGCAGACCAAGATGTGGTCCTCTGTTATCTTACCTATAGAAAAGTGGAAATTTTCGGTGAGGGAAAAGTGAGAAGATAAAAACTGCAAATACACAAGAAACACTACCAAGAAAGATTGTTAGTGTACGATTTTCTATACTTCTCTTTTTCGAGTCTAAAAATTCCATAAATCATAGAGAGAGCGGATGTTGGAGCATTTTCTGCAGCTCATGAGATGCGCCATGACCTGTATTTCTCCGCAGACACATCAAGCATCTTGGTTTCATTTAATCTTGTTAGTTTTCACATCTGCAACTCCAGTTCTGATTCTATTTAACGTTGGCCATGTTCGCCAGTCCAGGTCCATCCCGCCAGGGTCTTCCGGATCAAGTGGGTAATTTTCAAGGGACTCTTCGCCAACCATCTTAAGGAAGTTCCTGGGTGATCTGAGCCTTCTCTGTGCCACACATTATCCGTATAGTGTGTGTTATAAGCAAGCGTCCGATCCAATATAACACCTAGACATTTTGGGAAGCTTTTCCTTGTATCGCCTCAACCAAGCCAAAGCTCATGTCCTGCACCGTTAAACCGAGATCGTCAGAAAAAAGAAAGGTTTCCCCCAAGGAAAGATTGGTTCCCCCCAAGGAAAGGTTGGTCGTTTGTGTGATATAACACTGTTGGGGCGGGAACACTACTTTGGGAAAGGCCATTTCTTTGATCCTCCCTCTGCTTTTCTTACCATTTAGAACCACAGAAGCGTCAGTTTTGTAGTAGAGATGAGACTATTTGCGTGAGTTTGTAGTCTTTGGTAAGGTTATACATTTTTGTTAAACATTTTTTCATGGTATGCGGTATTGTACGTCGCGGATAAGTTCACGAATGCAACGACCGTGATAAGTTTCTCTTCGAAAATTGTGCAACACTTAGTGTATTATCCCCCCCTTTCTTTTAATAGGTTGGCTGCTTATGCCATTACGAATATGCTGTACCAAAATTGAAAAACTCTATTAAACCTATTGTTACAGGGCCTCCAGCAGCGAGCTAGTTTTAAATCCTAAGCAAATGTGCAAGAAGGCACGTCAATCGCGACAGTCTAAGATGGCCGATATCTGCAATAAGCCTGTTCTTTTGCAAAGCATTGCACAAGGTGTGGAATTGGCGCAGGATGAGTGCCAGCATCAGTTTCGGCACAGGCGCTGGAACTGCACCAATGTCAAGAAGAGTATGAAAAAGGTTATGTTAAGAGGTTAGACGATATTAATCATGTGTTGTAATTTGAAGTTGTGTATTTTTACTGTTGCAAAATTAACAGATTTATATGGTACCTGCAGCTCACCAGGAACTAAATATTGCATTATACAGTGATGGCACATTGTCGCAATTCGTACAAATTATAAGATAACATTTAGTATTAGATAACTTACGCTTAGCCGAGTTTGATTTTTTCTGCGATAGTTAAAGAAGAAAATTTATTTGCCTTTAAATATTGCACGCTAATTCTATCAGCGCTTTGATCAGCGTTCCAAAATTGTAATTACTGACCAAGCAAACAAACAGCCGTGCACTTACTAAGTGTGCACAGTGACTGAAATGTAGAAATGTACGGGATTGTTACGCGTGAACGAAAAGCGCAGCCAGAAGGTTCCACCAATCAAACTTACCATACAAATGTGCAGAAAATCAAGCGGCTAAAAGCAGCGATGGATTGCCACGTCGACCGTGAATCGGCGAAGAATATTAAAGCGAGTCTTGCACCGAAAGACTCGCTTTGATATTATTCCGTGTTTTACCAATTGTTTTTCGAATGAATGGATACTTAATGTTATAATGAAATTATTTCAATAATAAAAATAAATATTAACTGTTTTTTAAGAACAAACATTGAACATTTAGGAATGTTCATGTGAACTTATGAAAAAACTGCTCTTGATTTTATGTCAGAGTCGATCAGAACTATTTTTCGCATTTATCGAATCGGGTAACGAACGCCCGATTGTTAAAAATCCAAAACGATGTCCCTACAAAATTGTTCTCAGAAAAGTATTTTTTCTAACAAGAATAAATGTTTAAATGGTTACATATTCCTAGTCCGTGTGCGTGTACTGTTTTTATTTAGATATACTCTTGACGCACTATTTCTAACTAGTAAAATATCAAGAATAATTAGTTGAATTTTTTTAAATATCTATTACGACATTATTGAATTTTTGTTAGGTATTCAATCTTTGTGTAATTGTTCGACCGAACTGGTGGTAATCTGTTTTTTTATTTTTTGTTTGGGATTATTGGTCTTTTGTGGCAAATTACCTGTTTGATTCGATTTCGATTCGAAAATACACTCCTACAAAATTCCGGCTGTACGCTGTAAATCACATACTTTATTTACTTTATATCTTGTAAGTAAAAAGGCCAAAATGTCTGAATTTTTGAAATATAGGCATTGAACAAATAAAAGAGCAAAACTATTTATTGGCGGACAATCTTATATTAATTGGTATATTTTAATTATCGTTTAATTTACTAAACAAGGAATAATTATATTATCATCAACATAAAATCGGTTGATCAATTTTCATACGGTGTGCTAAGGAAACTGATCACTTCTTTACCACGGGGAAGTCCACCTAATTCCATGTCTTTGCCTAATCTCGATAAGCATTTTGGGCGATCACAAGTCAAACTCATTGTAACTTTAAAATAAATGTAACTGAAACTGCGTATAAGAACTAAATATTTTCAGGATTTTGCATATTTCAGCAACTTTAAAGATTTACAAGTCGAAACTGGAATACGGCAAAAGATACGTTTTAGTCCTGAGGATGCAAGTCATTTGTGAATGTGAAAACGTCAGGAAAAAATTATTTCCCAGACTGACCTAAAAGCCCAAAAATTCAGCAGTTTCAAGCAACAGTCGCAAAATCCGAGCTTTCTGTTAACGGTACAATTTACAAATGTTATAAATTAGTAGATATTTTCACACAGAGATTTTTACAAAAATCAAAATTTGCTGGACTTTTATATAATCACTGGACACTCATCTAAGTATTTCAAGGTGGCGTGGAAACGGCGTTACTTTGGTTTTGAGGGCAATCATGGGCAATGAAAGATTAGATAGAAATTTGTTTATCCGCTTGTTTCTCGAATATGTTTACAGTCGAATGTCACATTTTAACTTTATTACTAGGATTTTTTCCAATTAGTTTTTCGATTAATTAATTAAATTACAGAAATTTTTTATTAGAAAAATTCAAAGTTTTGGTAGTCCATTTTGAGGCAAGCGGCAACTTGTGCGCAACTTAATTCAGGTTTCTTTCAGCGGATAATTTCCAAATTTTTAACTGGAAAACTTTAAATATTCACACTGTCGAATATTAAAACATTTTACCTTGATCAATAGTATCTGAAAACATAGTTCGAATTTAAAACAGCGCGTTCAAAAAACTAGCAAAAACAGATAATTTTTGGGGTCTCTTTAACTTTTGCCTTGAACTAAAAACGCTTCATTCATATTTCATTCAAACATATTAATTTAGCTCAATCAAAGTTTGGGATTCTTTGACTACTTTGGCGAAAAGCTAAATTTCTATTGGCTCTTATATTGTTATATTATATCTTATATTGATCATTAGGTAATTTTTTTCACGCTATTTTCGCATACATTTTGATCCGCGTCTCCGACTAAGGTAAAATTCGGAACTCCTTTAATGAGTATTAAATAGTCTGCACTATCGTCAGTTTACACAAATCTTTATGAGTTTCCATGACTTGCTATAACGTTAATTGGTATTTAGGTAAATAAAAATACAAATCAGAAACAAGATAAAAAGTAAAAGAAAACCTAGAGACAAAAAACGTACAAAGAAAATCAGTGAAAAGACCTGAGCAGATAATTTATTTAAATACATCTGAAACAAAAGCAGAATGGAGCAGCACACAAAATACACTTCCAAGAAAGTTGTGGGGTAAAAACTTAACGAGAATATGTAGCGTCAACAGAAAGAAGTATTTGCGTTTCCAAGTTTACCTCATTCGGATAAGTGAGTGAATGAGTGATTCGAAAATTATGGAAGAAAGAACAAAAATTATTTTAGCGCCTCAAAACGACGCGATTTACAGTAAATTTTCAAATTTTATCTAAGCATCAATAAAACCAGGCCGCGGGTCAGAGTTGCAGGTAGATTTGTTTCACTTCCACATTCGTTTAGTTTCAGATGGCCAGTGTACCCTAATAAAACTGTGCCTGAGAGAAATCCCATTTCCTGTGGGTAAAACAGAGAGCTGAGTTCTAATTCACTTCTCAATCATTCTCATTTTTTCAGTTCTAAAATAAGTAAGAATTCTAGCAATTGTAATAAGGATGCGATTTTTTACGACACTATTCTTGTGCCATGGAAAGCAATCGCTAAGCCCTTATCCCATTTATTAATGAATTATTTCCTTATGCAAAGACATCCAATACGCAATCGAGTTTAATTTTGTCTTTATTGAAGCAATAACTCGACCTGTTAGCTTTCTGGATTTACAGATTTATATCATATTCATGAGTATTAAAAAATATGTAATTTGAATCAATGATGAATAGAAATCACCCTGTATATTATGAAGCATCAATCCAGTGACAAACTCGCAAAGGTACAATAAAAACATCCTTAAACAACATTACATAGATAATATCTAAAAAAAGGTCACTACGCGCAGTAATTGCCCATTCAAAATTCAAGTGCCACTTGAACACCATTATCTGGAACAAAGATATTTTTGAAGAACTTAATAACTGACGAAACTGAGCATATCTTTTTAAATCCGTTGACAGGTGAACATTATCTCACATCTGCTACCTGCTAGGTGTTATCTAAAGGTTAAATCTCTGTCAGTTAATTCTTTGGTAGTCACTTTAAGGAAATTTACACCTTTGTAAATAAGACTGAATCTTTCGCCTTCGCAAATGATTTATTACGAAAGCTTATTTAAATGTAGGTTTTCAGGAAACATTTTCGTTTAATTTGTTTTAGTGTCAGTCAAATTCAGATATCTTTTTCTGTAGTATGAAGTGTATGTATTGATAGGTTTGTTTAAATTAAACAGTTTAAATTAAGAAGTAAGTTCAAAATTGAAAAATGTAAAACCATAAACAATTACCACTTTTGTTTCTAGTATATCCTTCCTTTTGAAATAAAAGAAGTTTTCCATGGAAGTAGCAATTGTGGTTTGTGGTAATTCAGTTTTCAGGTTTACTTAGCTAGTTATACAGAGAAAGACTTTTTTTATAAACGCTTGAACACTTCGATTTGTATTTCAATTGCAATTGTTTTAATGTAAAAAAAATAAACAGCGTGTCCGAACTTTGAAAGTGACTTATTTTAATGCATATTCAAATATTTTAAAAAGAAAAATCAGTTTTTAAACGACACCTCTTAAATAGCATACCAAGTTACACATGCGTCCTAAATATCAAGTTTGAATTCGTGTCGTTCAAAAATTATTTATTTAAACAAATGAATTTGAAAAGGAAATTTATTTCAAATCGACGATGTCACTTATAATAAGTGTCCGAAATATTTTTCATTCACTAACTTGCAATATTATATTTTAGCGAAAATAACTTACATTCCAGTCGTATTCGATCTTACAACTCTTTAATGTTTTCAGTTTGGTTTTAAGCTTTGCTTTTGAAAAACCCCCATAAGAAAAAGTCCATCAGTGATAAAACCTTTCTGCAACCTACAAGATTTCAGCCCAGTAAATTACTTAATCATTTGTTTGGAAAATTGGGTTCTATCTTCGTCAGTCGAAGTAGTCTAATTATGAGTAGAATCAGGTTTCTCAATTTTTCCAATTAGTTTATATTTTTTTAATATCTTTTAAACCACAAGAAATAAAAAATTGATATTTTGTGTGCCTGTATAACTTGACACAACCATTTAAAGCAGTAGTGAAACAATTTCAATTACTATTAAGTAAAGTAGTGCTGTATATTTTTTGCATCAGAAAGACAAATCTGAATTTACATTAATAACATTTTATAATTCTGTAAATTTATAACTAAAATATTTGAAAAACACGTTAATTCCATCTAGAAGAGCTTGGAAGTTACGATAGGTCGATATAACGAAGTAACTTGTTAGTAACGTCAGTCCCCCAGGTCAAAATCCTGAATTTGCCACTGTTTGGTTTACATGACTACATATAGATATGTCTTCTCTCTGTTATTAACTATTAACTCTCTTTGTTATAACAATGAGAGCTCTACAGAATTCATTTTCAATAATTTTGGCAAATAATTTCTATGAATACGAACTTTTGTAGCTAAATGATCATGATCACTTTAAGTCGGGTCCAGACTAACGAACCGAGCCTCGTCGCGTAAAAAAGTCTCAGTCAAAATATTACAGCGTACTGTTATATATAATAGTACTAAGCGACGAAAAATAGTGCATAAAAGTTGCTAACTCCTTTCCTATTTGCATAAAGGCAAAAAAGCGTATGCCATATAACATTTATTAACATTTCTTAAATAAAGCTTTGGTTTTAAATAAACTTGGTCTTAAATAAAATTTGTATTATTTCATTTCAATTCTATTTAAGCTCCTGGTTGTTTGAGTGTTATAGTATATTTTATTTACATGTACGCCCTGCATATGGCAATAATATTTTCGTTTAAAGAGAACTTTTTTGCAGATACCCGAGAGACGGGATTTATGAATGCCATAATAGCAGCGGGTATCACCTATAAAGTGACGAGAGCGTGTACAAAAGGAGAACAAATTGGTTGTTCATGTGATAAATTTAGAAATAAGAAGTACGTAAACTTTATCTCACTCAATAATGTAATTCTAGGTAATAAATTATAGAAAATCAGCTAATTGATTAAATATTTAAGAGCTGATATAAATTGCATATAGTGCAAAAATAAATACCAATGATTGACTTAAAAAAAATATATTTGCAGCTGTAATACATTTAGCTTGTCCTTACAGGAAAAATAAAAAAAGAAAACTTGTGAACGTGCAGGAAAACGAGTTTGCATGGCAAGGCTGTGGTGAAAACATCGAATATGGAATCAAAAAGTCTAAGGACTTTTTGGACACTCGATACAAGAAGAGGAGTGATATGAAAACATTAGTGAAGTTGCACAATTACGTGGCTGGTAGATTAGTAAGTATTAAATGCATTTTTAAACTGTTGTGTTTTGTTGAACTAACCGGATCAGAAACTGTGGCGTTTGACATCTATTTACCTCTTATGTACGATATACGCGTGGACTAAATACTAATGACAATAATTAAGTAAAAATTAAATTATAATTCAAATATGAAACAGCTAATTAGGAAGCAATGGTTTCGACCAAAATCTTTGATGACTAATGATTATTAAATAACTTAATTTGCTTTAACAAACTGTTTATTCATTTCAAAAAAACGGCTATAAGTTAAGATGCAAGCCGTGATAGTAAAATGTATTTTTAACAAATAGTTAAATGGAAAGTAGACTGGCTTTGCTTCTAAAGCACATTTCCGAACCGAAATAGCAAAGAACTGACATATAAGACTCTTTGAACATTTTGAGTCTTACTTATTTTTGTTCTAATCCAAAAAGCATGTTCTGAATATATTGATAAGTGTTACAGAAACAATTTCCATTTTAATCGCCTTAATTGTCCAACTGGTGTATGTTTTCAATATTTTATGTTTAGGTTGGATCGGCTTAAAAGACATCGCTTACTGTTATGTCTGTGCTATTATAGTACAAATAATGTAAAAATGTAGCAGTCGCGTTGTAAAAAAATTATAAAGGTGTCGTTAACAAGTCTAATCTGCTCCTTTAGTTGATCTAGTGTGGTGTTGATATCGATTAGGTTTCCAGCCATATCGTGTAGATGTTCATCATTATCAGTAACAGAAACCCATTCGTTACTTAAACACATTAATTAGCTTCAAAACCCGTTAATCCTGCAAGTAAGTTTGCTTGGAAGTAATAATTCCGTTCCATTTCATTGCGACTAAAGGGCTTTAGAAGCTTCAATCCTTTCTCCCAGTAGCATTTGCACGCTTCCCAGACTAGATTTTTTTGCACTTCTTCCTTGTGCTGTTGACGGATCATTGAATTAGAAGATGTGAAGATATTCAGTGACGATTTCTATCCGGTTGGATAAGAGAAGAATTGGTTCAGGCCCTATAAGTTAGAACATAACTGCTGATAGAGAACAAATCTTAATAAAGACAGATAGTCAAAGGAATAACGTGATAAAATCTAAATGATACAATAAATTTTATTCTATACAATCAAAGTTATCAGATACATATCGCAATAACTTGGAACTATAAACTTAATAGGTGGGATTTTCTGAATAGAACTAACTAAAGGAGACACTTTTTTGTCGGTAGAATAGATTAAGTATCCAGAACTGGTATTTTTGCGCTACGGGTTGTGTGATTCTCTAGAGTAGCTGTTGACTGACTCAAACATTCCCGCACTGACAAAATAATATCCAGTCATCAACTGCCGTTAATTATATTTGCAATTACATAAGTTCCAGTAGTTTGAAGGGTACACATGTTCCCACTTGGTAGCACTTTATGCCCTCCCAGTAGCCTTTGTCTTTCTGCTGCATTTTAGTTCCGTTTTTTCTGTAAGCAGAAACTTACTTTCGAAGACTTCTAAGGGCGGGTATTACTTCTAATGTACGGTTAAGATTTAACCCACGGTTGGAGGCCACTTTGGGTTTTATAAAAGCTAACCGGCAGTTAAAATGCCGGTTCAGTAACGGTTGACTCAACCCGAAGACGGGGATCGGTTGCGATTTCAACCGGGAGTTTGAAGCAGGTAGAAGTGTGGCGCACGATCAAAGGATTTCTAACAACAGCAAATTTCAGAATCGATTCAGAAGGATAGAACTTGGCAACTCCGTACTTTGTAGATATGCACAGGGAGAAGAAGAAAACATATTTAATGAAGGGATTTTTTAATTCTTAGGGCGGGTGAGATAAAGGTGGGATTGAACCTTCGACTGACCAACCAACGGTTCATTAACTAACATTGGTCAAATTGCGTGAACAGCATCAGCCAATCAAAATCATTGCTTTCTGGTCAGTTCCGAGAGCTTGGTACCTGCATTTTAACATCCTACTAATTTAAATCAAATTCTTCTTGGTTCTCCATTAAATTAATAAAATATAGTATAAAATATTCTCCATGATTGTTTGTCATAGCACTATTATTGTTATCTAAAGCATTATTATTTTCTTCGGCATCTAACTTTAATTTGGGGTCTAGAGTTGGAGTTGGCTCATTGGTGTTTTGTGCTATGTTATGCAATCCTGCACCTGCTATAATGGCGATTTTGTTGTATCTAGAGATACTCTAACATAAAGAGATAGTACAGGAAAGTGTCGTTTTAGAACACCGAACAATCGCTCATTTTAATTTCGAGTTCTAATTTGAAATACATTAAATATGTTTTCTGCATCTCTCTGTGGATTTGTAATTGGCGTGATTATATAACTTTTTAAAGCATATCCAGAATCTCCAAGAAGTACGGAGTTATCAGATTCTCTCCTTTCAAAACCATTCTGCAATTTGCTGTTAAAAATTGATTGATCGTGGGTTGAACCACGTTACTACCTGCTTCGAACTCCCGGTTGAAGTCTCAAACCCCGTCTTCGGGTTTAGTCAACCGTCACTGAACCGGTATTTCAACCCGCCGGTTAGCGTTTATAATACCCAAACTGGCCTCCAACCGTGGGTTGAACCTCAACCGTTGGTCAACTGTACATTATAATACCCGCGCTTAGTTTGTTTGTTATATTTTAACAGGTAATCTTTGATTTATCTACTTTTTCTTTATTTTGCTGTTATTTACACGTCTCTCTTTTTGCTGCTGCAATGCTTGCCGCTACTAATAGCATTTAAGAAGACACGACATACTTTAAGAAGATCAGTAAACATGTTTGATTAGGTGGATTCAAACTTATATCTCTTTATAGCGACCGCTGTGTTGTCTGACATATTGTGTTGCTCTTTTTCAGGCAATAAAAAATTACATGCACAAAGACTGTAAATGTCATGGGTTATCGGGAGCGTGTTCTATGAAGACATGCCTAAGAAAAATGCCACATTTCCGAGAAGTTGGTGATAGATTGAAACAACGTTTTGATGGAGCAGCTAAAGTAATACCGGGCAATGACGGGAAGAGTTTCATCCCAGAAGGGGCCACTATTAAGCCACCTAGCAGAACCGATTTAGTATATTCAGAGCAATCGTCAAGCTTCTGCAATCCGAACAACACCATAGGAAGCTTTGGCACTCAGGGCAGAATATGTGACGAAACATCCCCAGGCGAAGACGGTTGTGGTATCTTATGTTGTGCCCGAGGCTTCCATTCATATTCGAAAGTACAACAAGTAAACTGCCGTTGTGCATTTCATTATTGCTGTGACGTGAAATGTGATGTCTGCAATGAAACTGTAAGGTACAGCATTTGCCAATAATTGTTTTCGAAATTGATGTATATAATTGTGATTATTTATCGTATTGTCTTACATGTGATTTTTCAATTACTAATAAAAGCTTGTAAATACTACATGTGTAAGTATTTAATTATTCCGCCTAGCATTTTTCTGACAGTTGGTCTAATTTCTTAGTACCACGTGTCGAATATCACATTTCTTCTGTTAACGAACCAAACAGTGGCACCTTCTGGCAATTCACAGATCACAGAGTGTAGATTGATGATTGATTGAGATTTCGTCGCGATCAGCCACTAGACGCGTAGTCCTTATGGCAGAGGATCACCTGATCGTTTCTCGACCTTTGTTTTTGCAGAGATGGTAATCTGTGGTTTTGCAGATATCACTGATATCAGTTCCTTGACGCCCTATTAGAATCCTTAGCATTTTAACGTGTTCAAGGACGGTAACTTTTTACTGCTTAGGGTTCAGTATACAATTTTATCTTTTATATTGTGTTAACTGTGAAGTGTGAGTTTTACAACAATGAAGCACAAGGTAGCCAGATACCAGCCGCCCCCAGTGTTGTGCATCGATAAAGGCAAGTAAGATGTTGTGTTCGTAATTGTGAAAATCAAGATAGTCGACGATATCGATTTCCTGTATATATTCCTGGCACTGTAAAAAACACAGCGGCGACAATACGATTATAGCTCCTCCCATCCGCCATTATGAGGCAATCTAAGTCCAATTTTTAATTTAAAACTATTGCTGTTGCAAAAATTCTACTCGCTGTACTTACGAAAAATCCTGAATTATCACCTAGTTCAGCAAAAGTTTTGTCAAGGCGAATTTTTTTAAGAATTAGATAAATATTTACATAATCAAATTTTGTATTATGTCTAAGTAGCTTAATTATAAATAAAGCGTCGTTATTTAAACCCAGGTATAATCTTGGATTATTTTCAATTTTGATAAAAAGGTGCTTCAATGCAAGTTGCCTGTGTTGTAAAACTTGTAAGGCCTCTATTTGTTCGTCATTAATCAATTTTATGAAATTAAAAAAAAGTGCAACGACCCCATTTTCGGTCTATTCTCTAAATATATAAAAATAATAGTCTATTCTGTCTAAATTTATTAAACGGAAAAAAATCCATGGCGAATTATACAATGCGTATAAAAATATTAAAATACAATAAAAATTCAACTCACATATGACAATAACAGATGGAGAGCAGTAATGCTGAGGGACGTACAATACCATTACAGTATGGAATATAACACAATAAAAATGCAACACAGGTTACACAAGCGTGTAACCTGTCTCATATGGGCATCTGTAATAAATTTTCCTACTTTTGACTGCAAAACGCCAGTGAGTAATTTTCAGGTGAAACCCCCTGGGGCGCTCAAGGATATGTATGCCTTTAAAATGTGTAACAATTTTGTATAATCCATAGTTTTGTGGGTAAGAAATAGTAGTATGCCTAGTCCCATCTATTTATATCTACATATGGAAAGCCCAAATAGTAGGTCGCGGTCAAAATTAGTTTAGGACGGAGTTCAGGATAAAGTAGGTTAGTCACACGCACACGTTTGTTTGAATGATAGGTACTTGGTGAGCACTCGGGTGTAGGGCTCGGAATTTTAAAAAATCTGAAATTCGAATATTCGTTTAGTGGTTCATTCGAATAGTAAAATTATTCGAATAGTCGAATATCTAACGAATATTCGAATAATCGAGTATTCGAGTATTCGAATATTCGAGTATTCGAAAGTATTCGAGCGTTCGAATATTCGAGTTATGACTACACATAATTATTCGCTTTTTGAATATTCGAATATTCGAATACTCGAATTATTCGAGTTTGATTCCGAGCCCTACTCGGGTGTTGCTGATGATGTATTTATTGTGGTCAAGTTAAAGCCCACCTTTAATTAATGCAGATGCTGCTGTTTCGGTCGCTGGACGGGAGCGCAAAGTTTTTTTATTCAAAATTATGTTTTCCTACAAATGTTTTTAATGCAATTTTTTTTATCCATAATGGCATCTCGGAAATGCAAACACCAAAACGGAAAGTAGCAGATGGGCACCACAATATAAAATATTTACAGGACAACGGAATCGACGGACAATTTACGGACAAACGGGAATTTATGGAAACATGAATTTAATCAAATAGCGAAAACTTTGGAAAACAACAGACTTTGTTTAAATCAAGCGATTTTCTCAAAAACGGCAGGAAAGGCTAGTTTTATAGCACAATTCGAGTACTGTTCCTTGGCACTTGAGGACTGACTCATGCGGCAAGACCAAGACTGCCGTTGATTGGTCTTGCTTTGCTCATCACTATTGATGAGAGTTGCGATATTAGCGATACAGCACAACTGGCTATACTTTTACTTGGTATTGACACCACATTTAATATTACCAAAGAATTGTGTTCACTGATTCCAATGCAAGGGGTTACAACTGGCAAAGACCTGTCGATGAACTAAAATCTGTGCCGGAAAATTTAATTAGAAAATATTATTTGTATTTCGACAAAGGGGGCACGAGCAATGTCAAACATGGAGGTAGGAGTATCGGGAAGGCCATTTTAAGACATTAAGAAGGTCACAGGTAGGGAAATATTCGTAACCACTGCACAAATCACCAGGAAAATGCATGTACAAAAAGATTGAGTTTGCGAAAAACTAATCAATTTTATAGTAACGTGCGTTCAACCACCAGGAATTTAAAGAATTACTAAAATATTTAGAAGCTGAATATGGTGACGTGGTCTTATATACCGAAGTAGGTTGGCTTAGTAGAGGTGCAATGCTAAGAAGAGTATACAACTTACAAAGCGAAATAAAATTGTTCTTGGATATGAAGGGATACCTTCCTTCATTTCGGTAATAAAGAATGAGTGTGCGATTTTGGGTTTCCTATCGACATGACTTAGTATCTCAATGATCTTAATGTAGAACTTCAAGGCAAAGGACAGCTTATTCACAATTTATATGATCAAATTCAGGGCATTGAGCGCAAATTAAAATTGTGGAAACAGCATCTTTTGCAGAATAATGTCTCTCACTTTCCACATTTATAAAAATAAAATGGTTAACACTTCTCAAAAATACGCACAATATATAGACATTTTAATCAACGACTTGCAATTACGATTCCAAATGTTCAAAGCTGGGAAGACAGCGGTTTTCAGGAAAATGTTTTCCTGCTAAAAATTGTGATTCTGCTGTATCAACCTTTAGGGCTATACGAGCAGATTACTGTCGACTTAATCAACCCACAGCGCAAACAATTTCGTACACAGTGGAAAAATTTGAAGAAACTGGATCGGCTGATATTGTAAGGCCCGTACATCATCGCAACATTCGTTCAGCTGTAAATATCGCCGTTGTTGCTCAAAGTGTGGAGGAAGACCCGAATTCGTCGATTCGCCGACGTGCCCAACATTTGGACTTGTCTTACGGCTCATGGTAGCGAATTTTGCAATAGGATTTGAAGCTCCATCCGTACAAAGGCCAACTGAGTCAAGAACTTAAGCTTTAAGACCATGGGCAATACAGAACAAGAAGCCGTTGATGTTGATTTTTCGAACCACATTTTCTTCAGCGATGAGGCTCATTTTTCGCTCGGTCGTTACGTAAATAAACAGAACAGCCGTTTATGGTGTTCTCAAAAACCTCAGGTGATCGAGGAAAGGCCTTTGCAACCTGACAAAGTGACCGTATGGTGTGCATTATGGTCCGGTGTTGTTATTGGCCCGTTTTTTTTTTTGAAAACGATCAAGGTAGAGTCATAACAGTCAATTTTGAGTGCTATGGACGCATGTTAACCCATTATTTTTGGAGAGAAATTGAATATTATGACCTGGAAGACATGTGGTTCCAGCAGGATGGGGCAACGAGTCACACAACACTCGCAGTTAGAGCCCGATGGCAAGAGAAATTTCCAGGACGCGTAATTTCGAGATTGAGTGATCGATTGGCCCACAAGGTCCAGCGACTTAACACCGTTAGATTTCTTTTTGTGGGGCTATGCGAAAGACCGTGTTTACGCCAATAATCCTCAAACTCTTGAGCAACTGAAAGCCAATATCCGTGAAGTTATGACCGAGATATTACCGGTCGTGTGCCGAAAATTCATTCAAAATAACCTCAAAAGGATTGAGGCCTGTAGGAGGTCCCGTGGACGACATTTAAATGATATTGTTTTTCACGTATAATGGGAAAATTTTATATTTACATTGAATTAACATTTTCGTCTCCATTTTAATATTTTGTGTGTTTTTTTTACTTTACTTTCCCAAGCATAAAATGGATAACCCTGTAGTAGTGTAAAAGTTGGGACCGTTTAATAAATACTGATCCTGAATTATTGGGAAAGGCAGTACGACCGTACGCTGATAGATAGCTAGAAAGCTGCCCGGCAGAAATATTTGGAAAAATTATGAGGGGCTTGTTCTTTGTTTGGGAGGTTTTGGGCCGTTAGTTTTCCCATTCCCGTTAGGTTTATAGCCACTAATGAGAAGGATAAGAATTGGTCGACGTTTGACTTATATGCTTGGGCCTAGTAAAAAAAAAGAAACGCATAAATAATTTGGCTGTTTCAGCAATGAGCGAGTTGTTCTCATTCTCAAAACTCAGCGGGGGCAGACCCTAAGATCACTGTTGACAATGGACATAGTTCCGGTTTCCCGCAAAAGAAATGAAGATAGTCTGATATGCATCGAGGTCGGGTATCCCCTGAAACAAATGTATGAACATTTCTGTGAACAACTCAACGAGACAATAACCATTATCTGAAGGGAACTCATGTCTGATAACCAATTTGGTTTTCGTCAAATTGTAATACGTCGGGTATACATTAGCTTAACCGACGTATAACCGTTTTCTGGAGCCGGACGACAAGAGAGTCGCCAATGCTTCTCCGAGCGTGAAGACTTAAACCGAACTGATTTCTTAGATTACGTACTTATTACAAACTACGCTCGACTACGACGGTTAATGAAATATAGACAATATTTGTGGGTCTGTACCACTATTAATAACATTATCTTAGGCTAACTCAGCATAGTTTATACTATTATAGTTATGCTGATCTTGCCGTTCTACTTTGTGGGTAGCATCGGGTAGAGTACTATAACTAATTTAGTAAATATTAAATGTTTAAATATTAATTGATCCATCAGTTTTTATATGTTTCCTTCCATGATCATATTCTCGATGTTTCAATCGTAATTACGATTGAAACAATAGATTGAAACAAGAACCGCGTGCGGCAACACTCCATAGTTGTTTGCCCCTGAGAAATCAAAGAATCCTGTCAAATGGTAATAACAACAATAAGAAACCCGCAGGAAACCAAAATTAAATTGGCGCAATTCGAACACATAATTGACCTCATAAAAGTTTCTCGGACTGTTTGTACAATGAAGATTCCAATGCGGAAAACATTTTTTAGACTAAAAAATCTTGCATGCCTTGGAGAAATGTATCAAGTAATCAACAGTTACTATTGAGCAGTTACCGCTTCATCTCAAGATTAAATAAACTCTCGAAAGGCCACCCACCTGACACTCAGTTTTGGTTTAATTGCCAATGCTTGTCACGCGAACACATATTAAGAGCCTTCTAAAGACCAGTGTTGAATTTAACTATTGAATAATATGGAGTTATTAAAAAGTTCGCCGTTAATGCCCATAAATATACCGCGCGTTCGTGGGTCTGAATTTTATTCGATTTAACCGATAGGTGCCAGTTAAGTACAGAGTTGCCAACACATTTAACTACTCTGAAGTTTTGTACAATTATTTTGTTCGAACTAAATCAATATAATAATTAAACAATGGCCACAGTGAGTTTTGTGTGTGTTTATGAATGGTTCGTTAGCGCTGCAATAAAAGCTCCTATTTTTATTAGTTTCATTAGCTATAAGCAAACGAATATCTAAGTTGGGGCCATAAAAGATAAAGGGACAAAAATTTACCAGAACAATAAGAAATATTTTCATTGCTTTTGTGTAACGTTACTTTACTACTCAGCACATGGCAACATTGCTTAGCGTGATACGATTTTTTAATTCTGATCAAAAATTTATGTTCCAGGCCTATGAAGATGTCTTACATGCCCCCCCAGGATGTGATGGGTCAGTCAAAATTGGGTGGTCCTCGCAAAGATAATTACTTTAAATTACTTTAATAAAGAATCTTAAGTTTCTTTATAAAATATTCATTTCGATTTCGATAAAATATAGAAAGTGATTCGTTTGAATCTCATTTGTATTGTCAGGTTTAGATTATTTTATAATACAAACATAGCGGCTATATTTCGAAATAAAGTTTTTAATATATGCAGCTTTAGACTGAGAATATGTTGTATGGATAAAACCTTCGTGATTCATAGATAATTCTTGTATTTCTCGACTTGGAGGATTTTTTATGACAGCTTCATTTCCTTTATTTATTTCTCTCCTCGTAACAAGCACCATTGAAGGGGCATTTGAAAATACAGTTATTGTTTAGAATTTTTTTAAAATTTTGAGTTAAATATCCATCGTTTCAGCCTCATTAGTAACAAATATGTAGTAACTTCATCCCTTACAAAATTTCAACTTTTTTATTAAACATAATTTTGAAATAGTTCTATGTTTGATTGGCGGCCTATTGGAATATGTACTTAATAATTCTAAAAGAAAAATTACGATCTTTGCATCCGATTAAGAAAAGTTTTTAATTAAATTAAATAAATACTTTTCTATAATTTTTTGATGCAAATTCAAAACAGCAAATATGTTTTTGCCATTATCAGATAGTTACAGATTTTATCAAGAATAACAAGCATTTGTCAACTTGTGACTAAGTTTAATTTTTCTTCCACAAAATGTACATCAACATCGATTGATTTGACGATTGTAACACATCTAGATCTTAAAGTCATCAGTATCTTTTCAGAGATCTGGTGATGGCTACAGCCACAAGGCGGGATAAAAAAAATGTCGTATTGATGTCCGCAAATTGATGAGTATTAACTACGCCATTCTGGTAATATATTAGACAAATCAATATTACGGTTACTAACAATCATCAACATATTAAGCAAACGAATTAATTTTCAGTTTGGTTTGCACAACGCAATGCCCAGACAGTTTCATTTCGCTAACTTCTTTTCGCTAGCTACTTTCATGATAAAATTCAGAAACGTTGATATTACTGTTACCGAGGGATCTTCTTACCACAAAGTGAACGAAACATTGTTCAAGAATAGTTTAAATTACCTGTTTTGAGGTATTTTTATTACTCAAAATGAATATGATATCTCCTAAAATATTGGACAAATTTATTAGATGATAACGTTGTTGTTTTTGATATGCCTTTCCTTTACTAACCTGTACATATTTTAATACAAAGTAGCCCCAAATCTGGGTATTCAAACAATTCAACACGGGCATATAATCGGCCTTTTCCTCGACGCATCTCTCAAGAATGCAGGGAATTCCCCGCTTCTCGCCGGAATGCCGTAACGAACTAATTTAATTTTTGTGATATTCCGCTTGAATATTTCACTCGAATATCTTTCGGAAACATCGACATCAAGTCGTTTTCCCTTTTTAAAAAATGCTCCCTTTAAATGCCCAGAATTCCTTCAGATTATGAAAAGTGATATTGTAAAGCGATCTGTCCATGAACGCTATCGACTTACGGCCGATTTTATAATACCGTAAAAGATTTTAATGACTTAATAGCGTTTCACAGGTTGATTTCTGTAGAGAACATAAGAGGAATTGTAGCATTAATACGCTCTCGAGCACTTTTGCTATTAATGCGTGTTTAATAAAGAGGAACATATTCTAGGAATTTCAATTAGTGGGAATTGCAATTAGAAGAAAACTCAATACTAAACAAACAGCCGGCTTCTGCCCAAAAATAGGAAAACTAGCACGGAAAATTCGTTCATAAGTTAATACAGTATTTATAATTGCCTTTAACTTATTTGCCTTCCATGAAACAACTTATACAGGAAGACTTAATGCAATTTTGACAACATTTAAAAAACTATTAATACAACGTGTTTAAAAAATAACAGTTGAGAGGTCCAATTCACTGATTTAAAATCTCTATTATTATTTGACAAATAATAATAGAGAGTTATTGGCCATGCTAAATACTGTCATGCAGTACTAAAGTTGTTCCTTATTTTAGTACTGCATTTGCGTTATTTCTGTAACAAAATGAGAGTTATTGGAATGCCTAGTTCGCAGCTTTCAGTATTAAAAATGTGTTATTGTGTAACCTAACCTTACACAATTTATTATTAATAATTTTACGTTGGTGTATTTATTATTTACCTTTTCAATTTGATTTTGGTTACTGTTTTATCATTTACGCTTAATTGTTATAATGAAGAAAATTCTAGAAGCCGCAGTCATAGACGGAGCAAGTGAAAATGAACTTAAATATTAAATTGTTGATAATACTTATATTTATAAACAGGGATGGTTATCAGACTGAGGAAAGTGAATATTTTTCTTTAGAACAAATGTCCGATGAGAATAACTATGTCATGAAATGCATTCTATTCAAACAAATTGAAGTTTTCGACCCTTGCTTGATCCCCCCTGTCATTACGGCTTGCTTTTTATAAGTTCCCCAACATCACGACGTATTTGGTGAATTGCTTAATTTAAAGCCATAGTTTTTACATTGGATTACAGCACAAGGCTTATAAGATTTACAAGTTTACAAGGATGCTGAGTCTGGCACCATTCAAGAGATATCAGCTAGACACGTTAGGGATAAAGCATTTATTTTTAACATAATTCTCATTTACATCCATCACTTGAACTTTTGCTTGCAAGGTGCACATTATTGAATTGCAAAAATCTAAATTCTGAAAAACACGACTTGAATATTCTTCAGTAAGGTACATCAGTTTGAACTGACTCACTAACACAGCTTCAATAAATCTGCTTTGCTCAAATTTCTTCAATAAATTCTGAAACATTATCAAATTCTTGTGGATCATGCAGAAACAACTACAGCTCGGACCTAAAAACAGCAGCTTAAAAACATTATACCCTTTAATGTATAACAACCAACCACTGGCTTTACTCTGGCTCTTTTTAAAAATATTTTTAATAGGGAGTAGGCAGGCCGATTGACCTGGTTGGAGACTAGAAATGTATCCTGAATTTTAGTTAGGCAACACATGTGGATTAGTTTTGTCTTCCAAGGCAGCTGGTTTTTCTTCAATCAAACATAAACAGTACGTAAAGTAAAAGTACTTTCCTGTTATGAAATGTCCTAAGCAAATACGATCATTTCTCATATAGATTTCATTTAGAGGCACCCGTTTTAAAGCCTTAACCCAAGCATTTCGACGTTCAATAAACAAAGCATTCAAATAATCAGTCTCTTCTATGTCTCGCTAAAATCGAAAAAAACCGTATCTCGTTCAGCACGCATTGAGCATTCAACGAGACTGCAAAAATGTGTCATTTTGAACCAATTGTATAAGTATTATAAGATTTAATACGTAGTGAAACGTAATGTTTACATATGTAAACAAGTAGTCAATTGCATATGGGTGAAACTGGGTTATGTTTATAATGAAATAACCTGCAAGCGGACGTCAGAAACGTCAACTGCCAGTTTAAGGTAGAAAATAAAATGTGCAGTATCGGGGCACAAATACTACAGAATAGTACTTTAATTTTGCGGTACTTATTTTTTAGACTGATTTGCGCAGGCGTATGTGTCAAAATAGCGCAAATTATATTACTGCATGAACGTATTGGGCTACCAATAACTCTCTATTATGCCGGTTAGACTTAAATTAACTGTAACCGAACTGTGCGTTTGATTTACACTGCGTAACATGTTACTTAGGGCAAGTAGTGGCGGTAGGTAAAGTGTATTTAAAAATTGCCTCCCTTCTTTAAAATGTCACCGCACGCCCATGCTTAATAGTGAATTTAAAATGAAACATTCACAAATCTTGAGTTTTCAAATAATATCGCACGAGTTTTTGCTAAAAGCTGAACATTTCATTCAGTTTATTGTGGGCGACGGACGAAATTGGTCGTCGGTCCTTTGCTCATAAACGGGATAAATGGACCGATTTGGTGCCATTTAGGCAAATGCCGTCGATCATCTTGCCTGTTAACTGCTGAGTGTAATCCACATTTATTTTCAACTTCGTGTGTGTTCACATTGTGTTTAAGTGTAGTGTGTTCTTTTTTAAATCTAATGGATTGACAATGGAGGATAGGGCGCCAATTTGCGGAAATCAAGTATCAAGGATTAGTAGGTTAGCAACCTACCCATCGTAAATAAAAAGCCAGAAAATAAAATTCACAGTAAAATTGGCTTTAAAGTATTCATAAATGTTAACTTTTTAATTAATATTAAGTGCTCAAATCTCAAAGGTTTCACACTCTCTGAGTTCGAATTCGTTTAACTCCCTTGCTGTTGCCACTATCCAATTTGAGGCTGCAATAGTTCCTACAGCCAATTTTTTTGGGTTTTTTGGGGTTTTTAGAACTTTTTAAATATCTTGACATTTAACAAAGTTGCGGGCCAAAGAGTGGAGGTGCGCGCAAATGGATCAGTCGAACGGTTGCCAACATTCAGCGTTTATTACCAAGAGTTGCGGAATTATGGGCAAATAAGTGTGCAAACAATGTGGGTGGTAGTTTAAGTCTCTCTAACTGAAAATTCGATTTTCTCCAAAACTATATACGAAAACCATGTCAATAGAAATTGCCATTTTGGATGATGATACATAATTTTCATGATAATTTTACCTATGTTATTCAGTATTAAAATTAAATATAAGGTTGTCTATTTCAAAAAGCCGGGATAACCGGAAGTGGGGCGATCTTGAAAATATGTTAGATCGCTTGCCCCAATGACTTGGGCGCACTGGTCACTGTCCAATTTTCAAATATCTCCTGAATATAGTTTGCCAAATATTGATTGCGACGGTTCCTGGTGGGACACCCTCTAAACGGTTCAAAACGTTCATTGTGATTTTGATTTCAAAAGGAATACCAGGGTGTCTAAAATTCGTTCTGGTACCTCAATATATTAGAACTTAAAGAAAAATTAGATGCGGTCACAATTATGGCACAGAAGGGAACACCCACATAGCTCCAAGACGAACTATGCAATGGCAGCAAAAATTAAACCAATAGACAGTACCTGAAGTGGTGAACACTTGAATAAAATAGTTCTTCTTGAAGTAGGCGTGCTAGCTGACGGTTGCACACAGTACTAAGGTTATTCATAATTACCATATTACGGTTGTACGTTTGTTTAATCACTTGGGCCACTTGCTTCAGATTTGCATTCAAGTCCTTAGAACCTTCGCAACCTCAAAAAAAAACCGATGTTGTGTTAATCCTGCTAATACTAACACATGTCTACCTAGTTTCAATTTTCCACAATTTTCTATAATGTAGCACCGTATACCCTGAATTAACATAATATTTCCATACATTTTTTCCTGGGCAACAAACGTAAATTACGCGCTTTTAATTTGCGAAACCCAGCAAATAATCAGCAAAATGACAATAGTAAAATTGTGCCAAAATCTACATTTATTTTCTGTGTTCAAAGCTGGTATACATCATTACAGGAATGCTACAAGATTAAGAGTTTATTTGTGACCGAAAGATTTAATTCTCATAAATTCTTGTGGTCGCCCAGGGAAGCCCGGTCAAGCGTCGGGAAGGGGCGTACCGGTCATGCGGGCCTGTAATTAGCGAGCCGGCCCTGCAGCCAGGTAAAGGCCGCACAGGATGCTGAGGACTGAGCAAACTATACGGGTGGTTTTTATTTCACGGATGCATTCTAATATAATAATGTTTATAAATATTGAAACCTTCAAAATCTACATGAGAATACACCTTCATTTAGCAGTTTTTTTCAATTATAATTATAACTTTGGTTTATGAAATAAATCATCCGTTTCATTAAAGAAAGTCTTCTACTTTCTACTAACATAAAAACTTAGTCTTGCATTTTTTTGTTTGGCTCTGTCTGATATATCATAGGTAATAGGTTTCCGAACCTCCATTACTCCTGAAAACAACACGCTTTAGAACATTTAAAAAAATGTTCTATATGAACATGAGTAAATTTGTTGGTGGTCAAATATGGTGCACATGGTATTCAAAGTGATGATGTGAGTGATGTTTTTGAAGCGCTAACTTACACCACCGCTTTTCAACATTTTTACTTTTAGTGTTTGAAAGATAGAATCGTTTTGTAAATGTGTGTATAATTTGCTGTCTTTGTGTTGCGAATCTGAACAACACATTAATCGTAAAAGTAATCATCATAGTATCATACGTGTAATATGAGCAATTGATTAAAATTCAAAACCTACTATTTCAATTGTTTTACCACCGCAATGATATATTAATCTGAACTTCACTTCGTAGTCTTGTTTTATAAGCGTTCTTGCAAAACTGTATAGGTACTACATCCCAAAACTGATAAACGTTTTCTGATGGAAAAAGTGAATAAAATTTCCACTTTCTCAGAAAGATCAGTTTGGTTGCAATGAAGAAGATACCGTGCATTTCTAGTGTTTATGATGTCAAACAATTTCACCAAAATCACGGAAATGGAGTCTCCTCAAACCAGGTAAAATTGCTTGCATACTTTTGCGACATTGTTATGCATTTAAAGCTTTCAAAGGCTCAGTTAACAAACCAACCACAACAAAGGTGTAATTCGGATATGTCTGGTAATAGTAAAATATATAATTAATTATTTTTTTCCGTAGAAAAATTGCAACTTGTCATTTGTGGTGTTTAGCTAAGCTAATTGCTTGCCAAATGACTACATAAAAAATAATTTGGCTTCTACAATAACTGGTGACTTCGATAAATAAACCATATTTCGTCAACCGCATTTTCTCGTGCTTTCTAAGTCAGCCCCGTTAGCCGCTTGAATAAAAGGAGGCCAATTTTTTTGCTAACCAACAGCCAATTGGCTCTATTGTTTTCTAAATGTTTGGGCGGATTTTAATAGAATTCCCTATTTCCTTAAGGACCAAATTTTAAGATACCGTAAAACCAAAATTTCCCAATATAGTTTATTTGGTGTATTCCTCTATTTCAAATCTACGTCGTTTTGCCCAATTAGTTATTACTGTCCAACTTTGGAAGATGTTAGAATATACTTGAGTTCCAAATTTTGCAGGTCATGGAGACAATTTTGCTTAAATAGCAAACTAGAGATGACACGAAAACATCCCTAAGGAAAACTTCAATAATATTGTGTTAAACTACTAACAACAACTTTCGACAGTTTTTTCGTTTCGTTCACCCGACTCGCTTTTGAACCTATTTTTACAGGGTGGTTTTGCCGTTCGTGCAAATTTTACAGTTCGGACAAATTTGTCTGATCCGAAAGTTAATAGTGTCCGAGGTACAAAATGTCAAAGTGAAAACAAAGTTTTCTCTTTTTCTGCATAAATTTTTAACTAGTTTTACCATTAGCAAAAAAATGTACTAGGGCGTTTTTTAAATAAATGAATCCGAATATCCTTTACGTAGCTTGCACTTCATAGAGTGCGCTCACGGCAATAATCTATAGTCACTTTAGGCATAAGATTTTGTTTGCTTTTAAAATAGCGCATTTTTGCTTCCTATTCCAATCATGTGTACTTGGTTCAAGTCAATATCTCTCACCCGTTTCGAGATATTTTACATTGAAACCTCTAGTGATTCTACAAAAAATCCTCAAAAAATTATGTTTTTTGGTTATAGTAAAACGGGTTAAGAATTTATTTAAAACAAAGAGAACCGGTACTGCGAGTTAATAGTTTCTAGTACCTTGGGAACTATTAACTTCCGGATAAGACACTTTCGCCCAAAACGCAATATTTTTGCTTAAATATGACAGAGAATTTTGTCACACTTTTGTACGACCACCTTGTGTCGCTCTCGTCATAAAATACATAGCTTTAACAACTTATGACTCTAATACACAAATAACGTCAATCGATGTTAGCAAATCGCAGAAAATAGCACAGATAGAAATCAACAGGAATTCAATTCAGGAACAGGAATCTTGTACGTAATTCTTTATGGAGATAATATTCCCGTGATTATCAGACATTCGATTTTACCTCGGTAGCGATCAGATGTGTTCGAGAGAGTACATTAAAATAAATTTACTGTTAATGCACCGAAAAACTTTTTTGATTTGATTTTTATCTAAAATACACAAGTAATTCTTAAACTTCAATGCGTTTCGGCCTCTGAAAACTCTCTCGTGACTGGAAACCGAGTTCACCCAACTAGTCAAAAGACCTCGGTCCTCTTAACCCAAACTAGCCCAAACAGAATGCGCAACATGATCCAACTTTAAAAATACAACAACGCAAATGTATCCACATCTCCAGCTGCAAAGCACTGAATTAGAGATTCAGTTTTTAAAATACCATTCGAATTTGTTACG